GACTGTTCCAGATTTTTCCAGGTTCACCTAGATTCGTCTAGATTCCCTGAGATTCTTTCCGATCCCCTCTGATTCTTTCTAGCTCTTTCCGATTCTCAGTTTCATATTCCCTCAGATCTTTTTGGATTTCCTCAGATTCTTATGGTGTTTTCAGATTCTTTCTTTTTTTTTAAGATTTTTCCTTTTGGATTCCTTTGGATTCCAAGTTTTATTCAGATCGTTGTAGAACCTTACAGATAAGGTACTTTCAGGTCCGTGCAGACTCTTCTAAGTTCTTCCAGATTTTTCTAGATTCTTCGAGATCCTCTGAGGTTCTCACAGATTATTTTCGAATCTCCCAGTTTCTCTCAGAATACCTTCAAATTTCTCCATATTTTTTCATTTTCTTTCTGATTCTCTCTTTCAGATTCTTTCGAATTTTTTCAGATTCTTTCAAAGTCACCGTCAGGAATCCTCAAGATTCTTTTAAATTTTTCAGTTATATACAGATCGTTTCAGGTCCTGTCAGATCCCTGCAGATTTTTCCAAATTCTTCCAGATTCTTCCAGGAATGTGATAGAATCTCGAAGAATCTAACAAAATCTAAAAGAATCTAGAAAAATCTGGCAAAGTCTACAGGAATCTGAAAGGATTTGTAAGGATCTCAAACAATCTGAACAGAACTGAAACATTTTAAAGAATCTTGAGGATTTCTGATGGAGTGAGTATTTGAAAGAATCTGAAAAGTTCGAAGAAATCTGAAAAAATTCGAAAGAGAGAATCAGAAAAGATCCAAAGAATTTGACAAAATCTTAAATTCTCTCAGATTCTTTCAGAGTTTTTCGATACTCTCAGATTCGCTCAAAATTTTTCACCTTTCATATCGTTTCAGATTCTTTCAAATTTTTCCAAATCATTTCAGATCCCTGCAGACTCTTTCAGATTCTTCTTGTTTTTTCTAAATTTTGATTCTTCCGAATTCTTCAAAACAGCTAATATCCATCTACCAAGATAAGAATAACAATAATTTTGACGTATATTTTTAAAATATTAGAAAAAAGTTTTTGTTGGCCAGAAATAATAAAAATAATAATACGGTGCAAATTCATTGTTGGGGCATTGCCTCACCTGTTTCATAAAACAAGCCGCCCCTGGCAGCAGTGCTAGTTGAAACACGTGTAAAATTAAGGGTACCTCTAATTAAGCGCAATTGTTTAAACAAATTGAACCGCATTCGGCGCCACAGTTCTCCTCAACAAGTGTAATTAGTGTAATATCAGTTTATCAGTAATTTTATTTTTATGTTGTTATTTGATATTTGTTGAGACATTTTCACAACGTGGGATCCATACCAAACCCACCCAATTTTGATTTTATCCGTATTTAATATTTGTCTGTTGTGTTTACTTTTATATGTGCTTTGTTTTATTTAAGTTGGAGTTGACTCTAGATCCACGGCGACATGATTTTTCAGTTAATCAATAATTTGAATTAATGAATGACTCAACATCATGTAAATTCAGGTTGTTCGAAATTGCTGATAGAGTGTGGCATAATTCAGCGACATGTAAATTCATTCAGTTATCGTTATAAATTCAAGAAGGATAGTATTTGAACTTTAATTAAAATCAAAGATTTCGTTACAATTGACTGCTTTCTCTAATATCAATTTACCCTAAAAATTGTTGAATTAAAATAAATTGAAAAAAAAACAAGTTTTGTCTAATTTTAGCGGAACGTTTAGGTTAACACACTGTTAGTATTGAACAAACGGAAAAACATATCTACATTTTAAAAAATATTTGTACGAAGCAACGTTTCGTATAAATAAATTTTTGTGTGATCTGCTTTTGCTGCACTTTCGGTGTTTTCGCACATTCCGTGAAATTAGATGAGCCGCTGTTGATGTATGTAATTAGTTTATGCAGTAATTTTTTTTACATTCGGTGTAATCAGTGTCGGGGCGTATTTTTCCTGAAGCGTTTTTTTTTACAGTCTTCGGGAAGGAATGCATAAACAAATTTTATTTAAATTCCCTTAATTTCTAAATTATTCCTACGATTTCTAGAAAACCTCTTTCAACAAACGAATATTTTTGCGAACAGCGTTTACCTTGAATTGAAATTTAAAACTCAAGAATATTCACAACTTCGCGTTATGAACGCAAAACACGTACACGGTTGGACACACTCGCGACAACGAAATTTGATGAAATATCCACGTGTTTCATCAAGTGCGTTGACATCTTCTTGGGTAAAGCAGTGTACAATTAAGGACATTATTTTAGTGTAGTAATAAAAATTTGATTCCTAGAACAATAAATTAGAGCACCTCGGTTAAAACTGGGCGATCGGCCATGGTAATAGAAGCAACGAAAGTCCTTACTGGGATGGGTTTTTTGCACTGTTTTGTATTGTATAATAAGGACCAATTAACCCAGTAGAGAGTTAAAATCTAAAACGAGTTTAGCACAGAATTTGTTAAGAAACCAGGTAACCATAATATACATCAGCTCTTTATCATTTTAAGGGTGAGCTAAAACATATTCCGGCATAGGAAAATACATATAAACTTCTGCCCAAGTTTTTGCCAAAAGTATACGTCCGATTGTAATAAACTTCACACCGTTGAAATGAGCGTAAAAAACCCTACCCACACTGCTTTTCCGTTTTTTAAATTTTGTTGTCAAAAAAAAAAAACTACAACGCTTTAAAATTGTGATGAGTATGAGATTATCTGGTTTTCGCTATTTATGGATCAATTTTAAATTTTCAAAAAGGTACATTAGTAGAAATTGTATTAAATAATCCATTCGCTTTACAGAAATAAAATATCTTAATAAATAATTAAGTAAACATATTTAAAATTCGTGGTCAAACAAACTTTAGCCATTTTTCTGATCAACTCAAATCTATAACAGGTAACCGATAAAGTCCGTCCTTTTAAACCCCTCATAATCCGACGATAAAAATTTATTAAAGTGTCCACCCTCTAAGGTTTTCTAAATTTAATCTGTAAGTCACAACGCCAAGTAAGAGGCAATTAAAGACAGACTTTTAAGTTTACATTATCTTGTAGCCCTCTTCTAAGTATTTAGGAACATCCTTTTTATTAAAGATTAAAAGATTTGCGTCCGCAGGTAATTATCGGTGGACTAATATTTACGATACATTTACACGTAACCAATAAGATATTTTGAAATATTCCACCAATGCAGATTTTTGCTTAAAAGTTGTTGCAGTTGGCACCGAACTTTTATTTATAGCTAGAGTGGAATGAAATTAGGCGCAAAAGAATCGGGTCTTCAATTTTTAGTTGTAATGAATTACTTTTTAAAAGTAATTGTTCCCCAGATTTGTACAAGGCTTTTTTTTCGCCCCTTTAAGAGTAAATTAATTTTAAAAAGAAAATGAAGACAAATCTGATAAACTTGCATTTTAAAGTTTTGAAGAATATTATTCACCTATTTTTCCTGGAAATGTATTATTTTGTATGGAAATGTGATTTTTATGTACCTATTTACTTTTCTGTTTTGACTTAAGTATAATGGGTTGCCTAGAGTACAGGGACGAAAACGAAGGACAATTCCATACCGCCAAAAAATTCATTCACACAAAAATAAAAAATATTTCCATAGCCTAACCTTATCTGGAAACTCTGATCATCCGTTATATGTATATGAACACGAGGGAAATCCCTGGCTGATTCCGAAATAAGATAAAATGATAGGCAATCTTTCAAAAAATGTATACCAACCTACAATTTTTTTTATGGCACCTAGTTTTCGAGATGCTTAATTTTAAGAAGGTAGTGGTAGTGTTTGAAAATAAAAAGCGTCTAAAATATTCAACTGCATCAAAAAGCCACTACCTGATGAACACGGAGCTGACATTGATAACGTCTTTTGTGACAATGAAGCCGATATTTAAGATGAAATAATGCATGAAATACATCAGCAAGTTTTCGTTCAGACATCTATTAAATAAATGATTATTTAAAAATATATCAACTTCATGGGTTAAAAGCCATCCAGGGAATTAACATGTTCACATTCTGGGCACCCAAATGCTGAGTTAAAGCAAATCCCAGTGGATGTTGGGATTACTTGGGCCCATAATGAGAAAACATTGTAATAACTGTAATAGAATTTGTTATAAAGTTACCTTTTTTATAACTGCTCCACAAAAATCACGCTGTAGATTGGCCAAAAAACACCAAAACACTTTCAAAAGTTTATTACGTTCAAACGCGATACAATTGACATATGTCAATTAGCAACATTTCCATAGCCACCCTTCATGTTTTATTTTTGATTTATTTCATTACCACGGCCTCCTTGATAGAAAGATGCACTTTCAGTCTATCCATAGAGGTCGTGGTTGTTATAAACGCAATACAATCTAAGATAAAAATTATACAAGTGCAGTTCTTTTTTTCACACCGATTTTCTGACGCACAATATTTTATTGCTTAAAATATTCAAACCTTTGTAAATGTATCAATTAATCACACACATGTTTCCCTCAAAATTCCATGGGGCAGGACATATCTCCATGAGTTTATTTTTATTTTTTAACAGCTAAGGTTCTTAAAGTTTCAATGTATATTTACAATATTTATGACAATTGTACAGAATCCTGGACCATACACTTTTAACTTGTTAGCTACAAATGCAATGACATGCATGCCTTCAAAGATGCTTATTTTGCACCACCTATGTAGTTTCAGATATAATCACAAAAATTAATTATCACAACAAATGTTTGATGATTATTTGCTATCCTATCTAAATTTCTTAATAGAGATAAAAAAAATTAAAGTAAACATGGTTTTAATTTTTCTGGGATAATCCCAAAAGGTCAGACACGTGTGTATTATAAATCACAGATAAAACATGTTTTGTGATAAACTTGCATTTTCGTATTCTAAACATCAAGTTAGGCATCACTTTCAACATAAATCCGATTTAAACGTTTAGTTGGAAGTAAAAAGACGATTTATGACAAAACAAAACTACAACACACAGTTTAGAACTATTGTTACACAATACAGTTTATTACACATTAAAGTTAACAAAGAATGTGTAGTATACAGAAGAGGCAATAGATACACTAATAAGTAAATATAGAGTACTTTGTGAAATACATTGTATTTGTGAGTACATAAACTGGAAATCTTATATACACAATTGTAACAACAAATCCTCATCTTTTAAAACATTTTGAAAGAAACGGTGTATACTCAAAGTGCTGAAGATTTGTGCAAAATACAATAGTTATCCGTAAAAATTACATGGCAATTTTTTAAACGTTTACTTAAAAATATACAGTCATTTTAAAATCCAAAGTTAGATGTTCAGCTTACCAACAATGGAGATGTTTTATTGTCTCTTTAAATTCCCGTATACGATAACTAGCGCAACATGGGCGGAACTGAACGCTTCATAGGTACGCACTTTGGAATTCTACTACAATATAAAATTGAACATAAGTACCCATGAGTCTCGCATCCTATCAAAATATCTATCATTACACGATTTTGATATTTATCTTTTCTACACTAAATGCGCTATTTACTCTAAATGGTTTTTGCGTCCTGTCGTCAACATCAAGAGACCTACAACAACTTTAGAATTTTTAGAAAATAACACGTAACTTCAACTAAATTCACAATAGTTCGGACAAATTGACACAAATTTATTGATTTTTTTTTTAGGTATAGACTAATAATAATTTAATAATATAAATATTGATAACAAACAAAGATATAAAGAAAACATTTTTAAAACCACTACAGAAGCCGTTATAAAAAATTTATAGATATGAAAATCATCACATTTTGTAATATTGGATATGTACATAATTATAACTATTATTGTACCCTTGATTGTAACACTTTAAATTTATTTACAACAATGATGGCATTTAGTGGAACAGCAGCGACTGTTGGCCCATCTGGCTTGACGGATTTGGTACGACGCCCAATGGGCTCATTTGAGGAATCATCGCTGGGGTTGCAACTAAAGGACGCATTCCCTGAAAACACAAATGTTGATCAGTCAGCTATAGCGCTTTATTACGATTCTTAAAAAATAATATAATAAAAAATTAAATTATCTTGACTGCATGATATGCGAAATCAAAAGCTCTACCATCATTTGTGGCAGTTGAGGGTACATCTGAGGCTGTAGAGTCGTTTGCATGCTCAGTGGTGGACTTGACATTGACTGATTCATAGGTTTATATCCGGCACCGGTGGTAGCTGACATTGGTTGTGGAGTCCAATTATTAGCTTTAGATCCGTTTTTAGGGGAATTCCATTGCCTAAAATAGAGCGTTATAAAATCAAACACCGACAATCGTACGCAAGTCTCACTTCATGGGAGCGGTTCGACTGTTAATAGTGAGATTCTCTGCTAGCGACGCTAGACTAGACTCCAAATCACCAGTTAGTAATGGCGAACCGGTCTGTTGATTCAAAGTATTGTTGTTGGTATTATTGTTGTTATTATTGTTATTAGGGGACGTTGAGTTGGTTTGCCCTGCTGATACTGGTTGTAGGACCCCGCCCAGGGCATCGAAGCCCGCACCTGGAAAAAATACATGTTTTGTAGGGATCGCATTTTCTAGCAAGTGTATATGAACCTGACACATTTTTTAAACTGTCAGCTTCATTGACTCGCACCTTAGTTAATTCACCACAAGCACTTCCTGAAATGGTTATTTAAGAAAGTGTACGTCCTTAAACGCACAATTAAAGTAACGGATCTTTTCTCTATTACACTATAATTTGCGATTGTCTTTCTTAAATAAGCTATTTATAGGAAAAACGCACGTAGTGCATGAGAAAAATATACTTAAACAATTACAGTGAGTCAGTAAAGGCCACAATGCTGTTACTGCTATCTATAAACAACGTATTCTAGGTTATAATTACATTTGTTTTCTCATGTACCACTCGAGCATGGAGTAATAAAATTAGAAATGTCATGCAGAGTTGGAATGCACAATGGATTACGTTGTTATGAACATGTATGGGTTTAATTTTCATAATACCGACAAGTGGGTGGAATTAATTAAATTGTAACTATTTTAATTTTCTAAATATTTTATGAAGATAAGTTTATACATAACATAGCACATTGTGTACGCATCCGCCTTTCGTTTCTGTTTGTGACGATTTAATGTAAACATATTTTGCTAGCAATTTTCTATTTTTAGTTATTTTAGTTGTTTGATATTACAGTGATAATCATTAAAAACTCATCACCGTGACATAAAAAATTTAAATGTCAATGCTGCATGAAGTAATAACTTACAAATAAAAGCTGGACGATTGAAAAGTTATTTCTTTACGGTTACAAATCAATCAAATCATACATGATTTGAATTTCATTGAAAAATGTAGAAAAAGTAATTTTATAATAAAAAGAACTTTTTTCTGAAACTTATTTGTATATACAATTGGTTTCAAAAAGAACGGGACAAATGACAGTGACATAAACGTCATATTCCCATTGCTTTTCATTGACTTATGATTTACTCATCTTGCCCCGTTTTTTGTGAAACCTATTGTAAATTTAGAAAAAAGTTCTTAAGAGATGAATTTGTTGGTCTAAACAGCGCTCTTCCAAAATATATATTTTAGTAAGTTAAAAAAAATACAAGAAAAGTACAAACCTTATTTACATAACCTTACTAAATGTTTAAAAACTGCCAAGGTCCAATACAAATGTTTGAACTTTCTATTTTTTAAACTGGTGGAATTTGTGCATTTATGTGTAAATTTTTCCGTCAAAAACAAAACACGTGCAAAAATGTAATAATAATGATGTAAATAATTACTTTTTGTCACTGGATGTTGACATATGAATATAGGGATCTATGTGTTTCATCTTTGACACTGACAGATGACAGAAACATGTGATGTGTCAGTTGTGCAGGGGTACCATCCATAAAATTAGTGTTACAGACAACTCTAATTCGTTTTATTTTCGAGTGTGGTAAAAATTCAGTGAGAAAATTACTTCCTTTGCTATAATACTTTTAATTCCGACAGGAAAAATATCCAGGTCATCAAATTTTATATATAAAAGCGCCGACTTCTGCTCTCAGGACTAAATACATAGAACATGAGATATTTTTAGCGTGAAAAGGTACGATGGTTGGGAAAAGATACAGTCGGTTTAGAACAAAGCGAACATTATGCAATAACTGTTTCCAGATACTTTAATTACACCACAAATGCACATGTAATTGCAACTATTACTACGTCATACACATTCACTGAAACAAATATTTGAAATTCGGTGCTACATTCATGCACTTTATCCTAATGGTGTGGTGGCATAAATCTCTGGGTACACAATGGAACTGTAATAATGTCGGCGTCATTATTTTACTTGAATACAGCAGATTCTACAATATTTAAAAGTGACATTTATGTGTTCTAACTGTTACATTAAACAACAGTACGTAACAAACATCTGTTAGAATTTGTTTAATTGCGTGGACTTGACATCTTTCTAGGTTTATTTATTAGTTCTGTCAACGATATTACAGATGGTTTGTGTTTAGAATGAGCACTTTTTTAAAGTACAAAGTTGAAATTTTTAGGGTTATGTCTTTGAATTGAATAAAAATAGTCTAATATTTTTTCACCTACTAGATTTCACAACCAACTCCAACTATAATGAAAAAAAAGCAAACATCTGGTGAAATAAATTGTGTTAGCTCACACTAAGGTCGGGGACATTTATTCACCTCAAGGTTTTTTTTCTTCACATTTTTTTTGTAAAATAGTGTCTCCGAAAAATGCTGAATTGTATTGTGTAGTAAAAATATTTCTTTTATCATTAAAAGAAAGTGAAATAGTTAAAATAACATCAGAAATTATATCACAAATAAAAATTGAAGCTCTTCAATATTTTGTTTTTTTTAATATCTCGATCAAAGATTACGGTAAAAAATTGGTTGAAAGTTATTTCCACAGAACTTTCCTTGCCCCTGAAGTACAGTCCAAATATTTGACAATATATATTTTCCTTTCTATCTTTTTTTTTCCAAATTCATTGTTGCTCGTTGTGTTCCCACATATTCATTTGTATTTTTGTTTAAATTTCTTTTTACTTCATGAGCGTAAGGTAGTATGTAACGTAATTTTATGTTTTCTTGACTTCTCGTAAATCTTAGAATATAAAAAAGTACTTCTGTGTGTCTACTGACGCTTTTATTACTCTGAAACGATATTATCTAGTTGTCAAAACGATATATTTGTATATATAATTTGTCTGACCGTTCCCACCAAAAATTTGATGATGTCATCTCAATTTTCGATCACCTTCAAAAACTAGCTAAAGACATGTTCTGTAGAGCTCGATCCCTAAAAGTTATTTTCGGCTTCAAACAATTTTACGTTGAAACTCAATATTTCAAAAATCTTGCTCTGGAACTATAAAATGTTCATATTTTTTGGATTAGCACATTGAGATTTACATTTGTTTTGTAAATGTTTTGGCAATTTTTCCAAAAGCTCAGTTTTTCAGTAACTTATGAAATTTTTGATAATTTTCTGACCACCTCGAAAATTGGCGAGAGACGCTTTTTCTGTACAATTCAACCCCTGGAATTTATTTTAGGTTTAATTTTTTCGAAAATTTCTACCATTTTTGCAGAGTCGCCAGTTGGAACATGGCAATTCTAAATAAATTCGGTTTTCAAATTGAATATTTTAAACATCTTGCCCTGGAACAATAAAAACTTCATATTTTTCGAATTAGCACGTTGAGATCAATAGTCCCCCCTATAAAATTTTTGATTATTTTTCAGCAATTTTCGAAAATTAGCTAAAAACATTTTTTGTAGATTTCCACTCTGAAAATTTATTTTCAGGTTGATTTCTTTGAAAATTACTGCCATTTTTCCAGAATAGTCAATTGAAATATGACAATTTGTATGACCAAATCTAAAATTAAATTTTGCGATTTTTTTGTAATAACCTGTATAAAGTCAAAAAATATTTAGTCAGCGTTTTACCACCTATGATATTTATAACATACATAGACAATCTGACAACAATCGATCCAGTAGCTTCTGAGTTTATCTGTCTAATAAAAATCCGAACAGACGGCAGACAGACAGACAACCGGAAGACCTATTTTCTCTTACTCTATGGGACATGAAACGTAGAAAAAATATGAAAATACTTAATTGTCTATTGGAGTCGATTATAATACTTCCTTAGATTATAAAATTCCAAAAATGAGGTTAAGCTCATTTTTCAATCTAACTTTTTTTTACAAAGATGTCACCGATTTTTTGCTCTGAATAAATACTAACACTAATTTTAATATGTACCGCGTGACGTTAATTATTGCAGTAATGTCTTTCCAAAGTTTTATGAAAATGTGATAAATCCATTTTTAGGAGTCCTCTGCTAGAAATTATAAAAACTAAAAGTGTATTACAATGCAAGCGGATTTCAATGCACATTTTCTTAAAAAAACATGTATTTAATAATTTTTATGATGACGTCATCATATTTTTGGAAAGAATGAATAGACACAATTTTCATGGCGTTCTGTAATCGCTAAGCTCTTAATAAATATAAGGCACTACAATATCGGTTTTTTAATGATAATTTTAACAATATAAAAACAGAACTTTGTTGCTAGAATTTCAGAAAAATATAAAATAAGTTTTTAAGAAATTGTACATCTAGTTAGTTTTTGTGCGATTATACTTACGATTTTTATTTTTATCTAGAGAAGAAAGTTAACCTAATTGGGACATTAGTTTAATGAGGATATAGATTTATTTCGTGATAAAGCGTCAAAATGTGATGGGTAAAGCTTTGTTTACGGAAGTTGTCAAGTACAAGTTGTTGTTGTACTGCATATTCCAGTTTTACATGACATGAAGGTGTCTCATAAATAATAATTATAAAATAATATTAAAACTGGATAAGTAGTTTTCAATTTATTAGTAAAATAATTGGCTTAGGTTTTTTCCTGAACCATTCTACACACAACAACAAAATATCTAATAAATAGTTTCAGAGATGACATCATCAACTTTCTCCATGGGATGAATAAATAAATGTTAGAAAACATTCTGTAATTATTAAGCATTAATTTGTAATCGAGTCATCCTGAGAGACATGTGATCGATGGAGTTAAACAAAGAACTCAGAACATTTTCGGCATTTCATAAATTTATTAATCGTGTACCGACTTTCCTCGCAAGTTCACACTTACACATTTTTTGTGGGTTAATCACCGACTTGCTAAATCCTTTCCAAGGATGATTCGATTACAAATTATGTTGGTCGCCGGATATTATAAATAATGTTATTATACTTCGTCAGGTTTGGTTTCTCTGTGAAGTTTCGTTCGCACCTTACCTTGGTAGTTTCACTCTGTATGAATATCAGGAGACTTTTTTGAATTATTAATCAGTCTTGAATTGTTAAAATAATAATTATAATTCTCGATATTGACGAATCTCTTTCAATTAAGTTAATAAATCGATTTTTCATTAGGGAGAACCAACTACTAATCGAGCTTAGGAGTATAATTATTACTTGATTAAT